TTGACATTTTTGCTTCACATTTCAGCGATTCAATAGCTACTTGAAAGTACATTTTCCATGTTTTCGGTTGTTTTTATACATGATGTATCACATTTTTGTATGATAAATTGTGTTAGTTTGCAAAAGATTACTATAAAAGTAAGTGAAATATCAAAATATTGAAAAACAGACTCCATGTCCCTTGGGGGCCACCGTAGAAGGTCACACTGAATCAGCGCTGCGCGGTCCTAAGGGGCGGGTTTTTTAACCCAAATTCAGAGCAGCGCAGCACAGCAGCAGTTCATAAAAAAATAGAATTAAGGTAAAACAATATAATTGACTTTTATCTTGTATGTTTAATGAATGTCATTTATACATGATATGTAGACACACCGAGGACCGTGCCATACATGACGGATAGGAAGCTATTAACAACCCTGAACTAAGTATCCCCAGCGGAGAAGACAAATGGATATATTGTCCGTGATATTATTTCGTAGCCAGAGGGTTGTTAAAAATGTATTCTTGCTGATAGGTAGAGAATCTACCACAGAGAAAAAGTCAATATCGAATGTGTGAAGAAAGTTATCTTAGCCAATTATGTCTTTCCTAACTCCCCCTAAAACAAACCAGACAAATAACATGTGCCGAGTTTGTTCCAGTGAAACAGAGTCTGTGAACAGTTTTCTGTTATTGTTATTGGAACTGGAAGTCGACTGATGACCTTCCGAGCATTGTGTGCAAATCTGTGACATTATATAGTTTGGTGAGTCAATGTTGTATAAGCAGGGATGTTTCTCCACTTCTAATATCCACATCACTTCGTCTGTGTGTCATTTCGGAATTGTTTAGTTGCTAATAAAGATATCAAAAGCAATTGATGTTTCCAAACGGATTCTTTTTTTTAATAAAGGAAATGACGCCACTTTGGGGACATTCCCAATCGCGTCGGGGCTGAAGGCGGCAAAACACGCTTCTTGAGCCATGCAAACAAATTGCTGTGGACGCGCTGCGTTTGTGTGGGATGCTAATGGGGTGTGTGGTGTTTGTTGTTTAACGCCGCACTCAGCAATATTTCAGCTTTATGACGGCGGTCTGTAATTAATCGAGTCCGGACCAGACAATCCAGTGATTGACATCATGAGCATCGATCCACGCAATTGGGATACGATAACATGTATCAACACGGCAAGCATGGGTTGCTGAAGACCTTTTCTACCCCGGATCTTCACGGGTCGGGATGCTAATGAAAGAACACTGACGGGATGACGTATGTTGGCGACGCGCTGCGTTAGTGTGGGATGCTTATGAAAGAACACTGATGGGATGACATGTGTTGGCGACGCGCTGCGCCAGTGTGGGATGCCAATGAAAGAACACTGACGGGATGACGTATGTTGGCGACGCGCTGCGTTAGTGTGGGATGCCAATGAAAGAACACTGACGGGATGACGTATGTTGGCGACGCGCTGCGCCAGTGTGGGATGCTAATGAAAGAACACTGACGGGATGACGTATGTTGGCGGCGCGCTGCGTTAGTGTGGGATGCTTATGAAAGAACACTGACGGGATGACGTATGTTGGCAACGCGCTGCGTTAGTGTGGGATGCCAATGAAAGAACACTGACGGGATGACGTATGTTGGCGACGCGCTGCGTTAGTGTGGGATGCCAATGAAAGAACACTGACGGGATGACGTATGTTGGCGACGCGCTGCGTTAGTGTGGGATGCCAATGAAGGAACACTGACGGGATGACGTATGTTGGCAACGCGCTGCGTTAGTGTGGGATGCTTATGAAAGAACACTGACAGGATGACGTATGTTGGCGACGCGCTGCGTTAGTGTGGGATGCCTATGAAAGAACACTGACGGGATGACGTATGTTGGCGACGCGCTGCGTTAGTGTGGGATGCTTATGAAAGAACACTGACAGGATGACGTATGTTGGCGACGCGCTGCGCCAGTGTGGGATGCCAATGAAAGAACACTGACGGGATGACGTATGTTGGCGACGCGCTGCGTTAGTGTGGGATGCTTATGAAAGAACACTGACAGGATGACGTATGTTGGCAACGCGCTGCGTTAGTGTGGGATGCTTATGAAAGAACACTGACAGGATGACGTATGTTGGCGACGCGCTGCGTTAGTGTGGGATGCCAATGAAAGAACACTGACAGGATGACATGTGTTGGCGACGCGCTGCGTTAGTGTTGGATGCTAATTAAGAAACACTGACGGGATGACGTATGTTTGCGACGCGCCAGTGTTGGATGCCAATGAAAGAACACTGACGGGATGACGTATGTTGGCGACGCGCTGCGTTAGTGTGGGATGCCAATGAAGGAACACTGACAGGATGACATGTGTTGGCGACGCGCTGCGTTAGTGTGGGATGCCAATGAAAGAACACTGACGGGATGACGTATGTTGGCGACGCGCTGCGTTAGTGTGGGATGCCAATGAAAGAACACTGACGGGATGACGTATGTTGGCGACGCGCCAGTGTGGGATGCCAATGAAAGAACACTGACAGGATGACGTATGTTGGCGACGCGCTGCGTTAGTGTGGGATGCCAATGAAAGAACACTGACGGGATGACGTATGTTGGCGACGCGCTGCGTTAGTGTGGGATGCCAATGAAAGAACACTGACAGGATGACATGTGTTGGCGACGCGCTGCGTTAGTGTTGGATGCTAATTAAGAAACACTGACAGGATGACGTATGTTTGCGACGCGCCAGTGTTGGATGCCAATGAAAGAACACTGACGGGATGACGTATGTTGGCGACGCGCTGCGTTAGTGTGGGATGCCAATGAAAGAACACTGACAGGATGACATGTGTTGGCGACGCGCTGCGTTAGTGTTGGATGCTAATTAAGAAACACTGACGGGATGACGTATGTTTGCGACGCGCCAGTGTTGGATGCTAATGAAAGAACACTGACGGGATAACATGTGCTGGCGACGCGCTGCGCTGGTGTTGGATGCTAATGAAGGAACACCGACGGGATGACGTATGTTGGCGACGCGCCTGTGTGGGATGCTAATGAAAGAACACTGACGGGATGACGTATGTTTGCGACGCGCCAGTGTGGGATGCTAATGAAAGAACACTGACGGGATGACGTATGTTGGCGACGCGCTGCGCCAGTGTGGGATGCCAATGAAAGAACACTGACGGGATGACGTATGTTGGCGACGCGCTGCGTTAGTGTGGGATGCTAATGAAAGAACACTGACAGGATGACGTATGTTGGCGACGCGCTGCGCCAGTGTGGGATGCTAATGAAAGAACACTGACGGGATGACATGTGTTGGGGACGCGCTGCGTTAGTGTGGGATGCTAATGAAAGAACACTGACGGGATGACATGTGTTGGGGACGCGCTGCGCTGGTGTTGGATGCTAATGAAGGAACACCGACGGGATGACGTATGTTGGCGACGCGCCAGTGTTGGATGCTAATGAAAGAACACTGACGGGATAACATGTGCTGGCGACGCGCTGCGCTGGTGTTGGATGCTAATGAAGGAACACCGACGGGATGACGTATGTTGGCGACGCGCCTGTGTGGGATGCTAATGAAAGAACACTGACGGGATGACGTATGTTTGCGACGCGCCAGTGTGGGATGCTAATGAAAGAACACTGACAGGATGACATGTGTTGGGGACGCGCTGCGTTAGTGTGGGATGCTAATGAAAGAACACTGACGGGATGACGTATGTTTGCGACGCGCCAGTGTGGGATGCTAATGAAAGAACACTGACAGGATGACATGTGTTGGGGACGCGCTTCGTTAGTGTTGGATGTTAATGAAGGAACACTGACGGGATGACGTATGTTGGCGACGCGCTGCGCCAGTGTGGGATGCCAATGAAAGAACACTGACGGGATGACGTATGTTGGCGACGCGCTGCGTTAGTGTGGGATGCTAATGAAAGAACACTGACAGGATGACGTATGTTGGCGACGCGCTGCGCCAGTGTGGGATGCTAATGAAAGAACACTGACGGGATGACATGTGTTGGGGAAGCGCTGCGTTAGTGTGGGATGCTAATGAAAGAACACTGACAGGATGACATGTGTTGGGGACGCGCTGCGTTAGTGTGGGATGCTAATGAAAGAACACTGACGGGATGACGTATGTTGGCGACGCGCTGCGTAAGTGTGGGATGCTTATGAAAGAACATTGACGGGATGACATGTTTTGACGACGCGCTTCGTTAGTGTTGGATGTTAATGAAGGAACACTGACGGAATGACATGTGTTGGCGACGCGCTGCGTTAGTGTTGGATGCTAATGAAGGAACACTGACAGGATGTATTTGTTGCCGACGCGCTGCGTTAGTGTTGGATGCTAACGAAGGAACACTGACGGGATGACATGTGTTGGCGACGCGCTGCAATAGTGTTGGATGCTAATGAAGGAACACTGACGGGATGTATTTGTTGCCGACGCGCTGCGTTAGTGTTGGGTGCTAATGAAGGAACACTGACGGGATGACATGTGTTGGCGACGCGCTGCGTTAGTGTGGGATGCCAATGAAGGAACACTGACGGGATGTATTTGTTGCCGACGCGCTTCGCAGCGCATCTTCATTGATGTTTGGCTTCAAGATCCCGTAAATCGTTGTGCAGAGTTTATTGTAGCAGGATCCGTTGGTTCCTTGGACTGTGCGATGTATGTATGTGCACATGGATTTAATCAAATGGTAAATGTCTATGATCGAGGTGCCTCACCAAGGTTTTGTTATCCACAGAAACCAACACCCTATGTAACATAATGTTTTAAAACAGGATTAAACTCAACACACTGCTTATAACAGTGAACCAAACATACACTGAACACCGTGGTTCGGCGCAGCGCTTGTTCAGCTTGTTCTAATTTGTGGGGGAAACAATATGACCTCAAAAACCAATTTTAATTCTAACCATAGGTAGGATGAAGAAATGAAATAAAAACGTGTGCTTTACGTTTAGTCTCATTAATGAAAAATGGACTGCTAATTTGCAGGATCTGCGGAGGCTGTGTTTGACGACGCACCAGTGACTGTGACGGCCGAAGCGGGCACGGCTGCCATATTGCCTTGTACTGTGACCTCCAAAGGACGACATCGGGTAAAGTATGCATGCAACATACAGTTGATTAGCAGGTTGCAAAGGCACGTGTATGTAATCACGTGAATTATATGTAGCCTTTTTCGGACAAGGCAGCACGGATTAACAAGATGCTGTCTTGTCTGCGTGATGGTTTCCTTTGGCGATTACTTAAGAAATAAACGACGAGTGGGAGTGTGTTGTTGTACGATAAACAACGATGGCGAGTCGTTTATTTCTTATATGAGATATGTACAGACTCTTTAAGGGTAATAAAAAAATGTACAAGCTTTAAAAATATTTACCCGTTATTAAATACTCCCTCAAAAGAAGTCCATTTTCTGCACTGGTGGGTATTTCCCGCATATTCTCACAATCCTCACGTCGATCACCTGTACCTTTTCCAACAATACCGATTGTCATTTCTCTCCCACTTTTGGATCCTATCGTTCAGCCAACATGTTTTTCTGCGTTGCCCAGCTACATCTATGGGGAACAACTCACTAGACACTCCCTTCTCCAAAATAACCTCGTCCAATATACGACGTCATCAAGTTGCGAACGCATGTTCGCTTCTCCAGAAATGACGTCATGATAGAACAATGTTTCATCGTGAAATAAATATAGGATATTATAATGAACACGAGTATAATATTCTATTTATTACCAAAGAAGATGTCTACATACAGAGACGAATAATAGTGTTTACCTATAAGGACAACAATTTAAGTCGCAACAACAGCGGAACCACAATTTATCCAACGACGGCAACAATCTTGGGCTATAATGTCTTTCTAGTGTGACGTCATTCCGACCCCACGTCACAATAACATTCGAATAAGGTCAACAATGCCATCAGGATGACGGAAACAATACACTGTTGTCTCGTGATGTGATGTGACCCTAGGGCACATATGATTTTTGTGAACCCCGATATGTTTGCCCTCGAAGATAATAAACAACGCTTCGTTCATCATTGTTCTTTGCGATATTCAGAGAATCCGATATGTAATTGGTAAATATATTTGATTTGGAAAGTATTATTAATATATGATTATGTGATTGTCATTTATACACAGTCTCCGGTTCAGATTTCAAAATGCTATGACACAGTGATAAATATGCGTATTGTAATTGCCCCAGGGTGAATCTTCTTGAAGTTATTTTTTATATGACATACCGTTCAAAGCGGCGCTAAACCCAACTCACTCACTCATCCCACTCAAGGCTCTTCATATACCGATATATACACATATTGATCAGTCGATTGATGCGATAGTAGATCTGTCTGTGAGAGACAGTAATATATATTTCCCCCAAAAAGGGAGGCAACTATGGAAGGCCACTATCAGCATATTCCCCGCTTTAAGATGAAATTACAAGAAGACATCTTTGACCATAACTTACAAACATAATCTTTCGTTTCACAATCCACCAAGATATTTGAATTGTAAATCCAACAGTGTTACTACCATCGACTACTATCGAGGTCTTTCTACCATTGACTACAAGCGTGCTGTTTCTACCATCGACTACAAGCGTGATGTTTCCACCATCGACTACTAGTGTGCTGTTACTACCATCGACTACTATCGAGGTGCTTCTACCATTGACTACAAGCGTCCTGTTTCCACCATCGCCTACTAGTGTGCTGTTACTACCATCGACTACCATCGAGGTGTATCTACCATCGACTACTATCGAGGTCTTTCTACAATCGACTACAAGCCTGCTGTTTCCACCATCGACTACTAGTATGCTGTTACTACCATCGACTACTATCGAAGTGCTTCTACCATCGACTAATACCGTGCTGTTTCTACCATCGACTCCTATCGAGGTGTTTCTACCATCGACTACTAGCATGGTGTTTCTACCATCGACTTTTATTGAAGTGTTTCTACCATCGACTACCAACGTGCTGTTACTACCATCGACTACTATCGAGATGTTTCTACCATCGACTGGTAGCGTGGTGTTTCTACCATCGACTACTATCGAGGTGCTTCTACCATCGACTAATACCGTGCTGTTTCTACCATCGACTACTATCGAGGTGTTTCTACCATCGACTACTAGCATGGTGTTTCTACCATCGACTTGTATTGAAGTGTTTCTACCATCGACTACCAACGTGCTGTTACTACCATCGACTACTATCGAGGTGCTTCTACCATTGACTACAAGCGTGCTGTTTCCACCATCGCCTACTAGTGTGCTGTTACTACCGTCGACTACTATCGAGGTGTATCTACCATCGACTACAAGCGTGCTGTTTCCACCATCGACTACAAGCCTGCTGTTTCCACCATCGACTACTAGTATGCTGTTACTACCATCGACTTCTATCGAAGTGCTTCTACCATCGACTAATACCGTCCTGTTTCTACCATCGACTACTATCGAGGTGCTTCTACCATTGACTACAAGCGTGCTGTTTCCACCATCGCCTACTAGTGTGCTGTTACTACCATCGACTACCATCGAGGTGTTTCTACCATCGACTACTAACGAGGTCTTTCTACAATCGACTACAAGCCTGCTGTTTCCACCATCGACTACTAGTATGCTGTTACTACCATCGACTACTATCGAAGTGCTTCTACCATCGACTACCAACGTGCTGTTACTACCATCGACTACTATCGAGATGTTTCTACCATCGACTGGTAGCGTGGTGTTTCTACCATCGACTACTATCGAGGTGCTTCTACCATCGACTTATATCGTGGTGTTACTACCATCGACTTCTAACGTGCTGTTTCTACCATCGACTACTATCGAGGTGTTTCTACCATCGACTACTAGCATGATGTTTGTACCATCGACTTTTATTGAAGTGTTCTACCATCGACTACCAACGTGCTGTTACTACCATCGACTACTATCGAGGTGTTTCTACCATCGACTTCTAACGTCCTGTTTCTACCATCGACTACAAGCGTGGTGTTTCTACCATCGACTACTATTGAGGTGTTTCTACCATCGACTATTAGCTTGCAGTTTCTACTATCGACTACAAGCATGCTGTTTCTACCATCGACTACAAGCGTGCTGTTTCCACCATCGACTACTAGTGTGCTGTTACTACCATCGACTACTAGCATGGTGTTTCCACCATTGACTACTAGTGTGCTGTTACTACCATCGACTACTAACGTGCTCTTTCTACCATCGACTACTAGCGTGCTGTTACTACCATCTACTACTATCGAGGTGTTTCTACCATCGACTACTAACGTGCTGTTTCTACCATCGACTACAATCGATGTGTTTCTACCATCGACTACTAACGTGCTGTTACTACCATCGACTACTAACGTGCTGTTTCTACCATCGACTACTAGCGTGCTGCTACTACCATCGACTAATATCGAGGTGTTTCTACCATCGACTACTATCGAGGTGCTTCTACCATTGACTACAAGCCTGCTGTTTCCACCATCGACTACTAGTATGCTGTTACTACCATCGACTACTATCGAAGTGCTTCTACCATCGACTACCAACGTGCTGTTACTACCATCGACTACTATCGAGATGTTTCTACCATCGACTGGTAGCGTGGTGTTTCTACCATCGACTACTATCGAGGTGCTTCTACCATCGACTTATATCGTGGTGTTACTACCATCGACTTCTAACGTGCTGTTTCTACCATCGACTACTATCGAGGTGTTTCTACCATCGACTACTAGCATGATGTTTGTACCATCGACTTTTATTGAAGTGTTCTACCATCGACTACCAACGTGCTGTTACTACCATCGACTACTATCGAGGTGTTTCTACCATCGACTTCTAACGTCCTGTTTCTACCATCGACTACAAGCGTGGTGTTTCTACCATCGACTACTATTGAGGTGTTTCTACCATCGACTACTAGCGTGCAGTTTCTACTATCGACTACAAGCATGCTGTTTCTACCATCGACTACAAGCGTGCTGTTTCCACCATCGACTACTAGTGTGCTGTTACTACCATCGACTACTATCGAGGTGTTTCCACCATTGACTACTAGTGTGCTGTTACTACCATCGACTACTATCGAGGTGTTTCTACCATCGACTACTAACGTGCTGTTTCTACCATCGACTACAATCGAGGTGTTTCTACCATCGACTACTAACGTGCTGTTACTACCATCGACTACTAACGTGCTGTTTCTACCATCGACTACTAGCGTGCTGCTACTACCATCGACTACTATCGAGGTGTTTCTACCATCGACTACTAACGTGCTGTTACTACCATCGACTACTAACGTGATGTTTCTACCATCGACTACTAACGTGCTGTTACTACCATCGACTACTAGGGAGCTCTTTCTACCATCGACTACTAACGTGCTGTTACTACCATTGACTACTATCGAGGTGTTTCCACCATCGACTACTATTGTGCTGTTACTACCATTGACTACTATCGAGGTGTTTCTACCATCGACTACTATCGAGGTCTTTCTACCATTGACTACAAGCGTGCTGTTTCCACCATCGACTACTAGTGTGCTCTTACTACCATCGACTACTAGCGTGCAGTTTCTACCATCGACTACTAGCGTGCTGTTACTACCATCTACTACTATCGAGGTGTTTCTACCATCGACTACTAACGTGCTGTTTCTACCATCGACTACAATCGAGGTGTTTCTACCATCGACTACTAACGTGCTGTTACTACCATCGACTACTAACGTGCTGTTTCTACCATCGACTACAATCGAGGTGTTTCTACCATCGACTACTAACGTGCTGTTACTACCATCAACTACTAACGTGCTGTTTCTACCATCGACTACTATCGAGGTGTTTCCACAATCGACTACTAGCGTGCTGTCACTACCATCGACTACTAGCGTGTTGTTTCTACCATCAACTACTATCGACGTGTTTCTACCATCGACTACTAACGTGCTGTTTCTACCATCGACTACAATCGAGGTGTTTCTACCATCGACTACTAACGTGCTGTTACTACCATTGACTACTAACGTGCTGTTTCTACCATCGACTACTAGCGTGCTGTTACTACCATCGACTACTATCGAGGTGTTTCTACCATCGACTACTAACGTGCTGTTACTACCATCGACTACTAGGGAGTTTTTTCTTCCATCGACTACTAACGTGCTGTTTCTACCATCGACTACTATCGAGGTGTTTCTACCATCGACTACTAGCGTGCTGTCACTACCATCGACTACTAGCGTGTTGTTTCTACCATCAACTACTATCGACGTGTTTCTACCATCGACTACTAGCGTGCAGTTTCTACCATCGACTACTAGGGGCGAGTATTTACTACCGTGATATACCTGGAACATTGATTGTGGTGTTAAACATGCATTCACTCACTTCATTTACACGTAACACTTCGATAGAACAGTAAACTTTATCTGTCCACGTTATCTAAATGAACTGTTCAATGCTTCAGGTGGTGTGGAAGGACCCGTCATCCACGTGGTTGACGTTCGACAGTAAAGTCCTCGTTAAAGACACGCGCCTCAGTATTCAGCAATCTCAGCCCTGGCTATGGGATCTCCGTATACGTTGGGTTAGGCAGTCAGACCAAGGCACATACACGTGTGTCGTCAACACCCATCCGCTGATGGTGAAAATGGTCAATCTCGTTATAACAGGTAAGAAATATATCCATTGTGCTTACATATATGTGTGTCATATGTTGCTACACGCTTTTGTAAATTCAAAATGTCAACGCCCGAGAATAATCAGTCTCGAATATCTGCAGAAACAGATTCCATTGAGCATAAAGGGAAAAACAGAAATGAAAAGTATATGAATGGATCACTGAATATCACTGAAGGCAACAGGTAATAATGTCCTGCCCTACCGGTAGAACCCGCCACTCACACAATTTGCATAAGAAGAACGTGCTTGTCCGTTGCCCACTGCTGCACCGGCAACTCTCCGGCCATGCGACGGGGGCCTGGAAACAAATGAGGCTGGTGTAGACAATCTAGTGACACCAAAACTAATTTACTGAATTCGTTGAAACTCAAAACGATATGTTAACTTTGAATTACTTCTGCTGTATACAAGTGCAGATATTCTGCTGCTTACAAGCAAAGAGAAACACTTAGGAAATAGGTTAATGTCTTGTTGTTTACTCAGGAGAGTGAGCTTAGATGAAACTAACTCTACGGGCGCCTACAATTCTCTTGTCACCTCAGCAACCAGCACCACTGGCTAAGGTTTTACATCGGGTTCATTATAGCCAAGAAATCTGGAAAATCGTTGGCCGTTTTAATGCTAAATGAAATCACTCCCGACCAAACATCATAACTCGAAGGCCTTTAAAACACATTTACGTATAGTTATTGCTAATAATTGGCTTTTTCATTTAGGCTTGTGAAATACAGAACTGTCCAACTGAATGTCAAGTGAGAAAGATTTTTAACTATCAAAACTTGTGGTCTAGTAAACCAACCAAGTTGAGTCTGTTACAGAAGCCGCATCCACGTGAAGACCGTGTTCCATTGCCTGAACACTCATGGACACTTGAGAGAGAAGCAATATGCACGAATAACTTACATTAGCATTGAGGCATACTATTTTTTTTGTAAAAACATAAGTCATTTTTACAAAAATATCAATCACTCAATTTCTCGATGCAGGTTAACAATGACCTGTTGTCCAACTACATCTGCTGTTGTGGAGTAGGAACCAGATGCTGCAGGGTGCCACCACTCCCATGCGGTGCGGAGCGGCAGAACCAGTCCCGGCTCCTCCACTGGAGTCAGTCCGAGAACTATCTCTGTAACCTGCACTTTGTATTGCTCTTCTATTCCGCTATAAAACTTTGTGAATGCATTGTAACATGGAATATATAAACAAGACATACTGCCTTATTTTTCATTACACCTCTTACGATGCACGCGGTGTGGTTTTCGTTTACGCATCATCTGCATACGTTATTTTATGTTATTGCAAATGTCATCTGAAGTTTACTGAGAATACAATGTGTGTAATGCTGGACTTCCTCATTGATAGCATCTACGTGAGATATTGGGGTACGACATTTCGACAAGAAGTAGAGATATCTCTTTACAAGGCTGTATGAGAAGAAGGATGTCGAGCAATGTTCCAGCAGCTCCAGACTTTGGTGTCTACCTTTCACAACTTTGATGTACAATCGAGCATGCTCTTTCTACCAACATTTGAAAGAGGGTCATACGACTCTGACTCAACATTTGTTTGATCAAGGTTACAACATTTAAGGCCCAAGTAAAGCTTTCAAAAGGCCTTATGGAAGGCCTTATGGATTCCCTATTTTGACTTGTTCCACATGACCCCGTGTTGGTTTAGGTGAACAATAGACTTGCACCATCTGAGGAGTTGGTCCTGCGCCATACAGAAACACATGCAATACGTGGTGCTACTTGGGCAAGTGACTTCCAAATGCTCCTCTGTTCACCCTGTGACACCGGCCACGTTTGACGAGCACATGTCAGCCTAGTCATGCAAGATGTTTGTTTGTTTGTTGTTTTACGCCGCACTTAGCAATATTCCAGCTATATGACGGCGGTCTGTAAAACCAGTGGTTGATGTCATGAGCATCAGTCCAGATACGATGGCATGCATCAACCAAGTCAGCGAGCCTGACCACCCGATCCCGTTAGTCGCCTTTTACGACAACCATAGTCGCCTTTTACGGCAAGCATGGGTTGCTGAAGACCTATTCTACCCCGGATCTTCACGGATATCAAGATATAAGATTTAACGATGAGTTGGTTAGGTCAGACGTCACAGACCTGACTGGATAGACCATGTATGATTCAGTTGATATTACATTCTCATCAGTTTCTTCAAATTGCTTTACGTTTAAAACTATTCGGATTTTCAAAGGGGAAAAGGAGCGCTATACAGAGACAGTTTGTTTTACTATCTGAGACCTTTCATAATTAACTTCCCTCGCATCTGCTCTACATACAAATACACACAGTATTGTAGGTCAGTATTGATTTGTACACCCGAGAACATCCTGGGTAGAATAGGTCTTCAGCAACCCATGCTTGCCGCAAAAGTAATGGGATCGGGTGGTCAGACTCCCTCACTTAGTTAATGCATGTGATGGTATCCCAAATGCGTAGATGGATGCTCATGATCACTTAATTGTGTGGCCCAGACTCGATTATTTACAGACCGCCGTCATATAGCTGGAATATTGCTGATTGCGGCGTTAAACATCAAACAAACAAAGTGATTTGTACACATTGATTTTCAAAGGGCTGATTGATTCTCGTTGTTCAGCAAATTCCAGTAAGACAACATGCGAGTCTAAGTGAAACTGTATTTAAATCTACATGTACATTACATTTTATATGGACACGTGAACATCCGGGGTAGAATAGATCTTCAGCAACCGTTGTTTGCCGTAAAAGGCGACTATGCTTGTTGTAAGAGGCGACTAACGGTCGCTGCATGGGTTGATGCATGTCATCGTATCTCAATTGTGGATCGATGCTCATGATGTCCATCACTGGATTGATCCAGACTCGATTATTTTCGGACCTCCGTAATATATCTGGAATATTGCTGAGTGCGGGTTTACACAACAAACAAAGAATTTTTTTAAATATGAAACACGTATGTATCTGATGTAGTGAGTGAGTGAGTGAGTGAGTTGGGTTAAACGCCGCTTTTAACATTATTCCAGTTATATCACGACGTGTCAGCTTAATGTGGGAGGAAGGCCCGAAGTGATGCAGGTCTCGGACGTTTACCACTTCGGTAAAACCCACGAGCACGGGTATGGTGCTGACAAACCTAGAAACATAATCGGGGGAACCGGGATTCGAACCCAAAATCATAGGTATCTGGCATGCCCAAGGAACGCAACTCTGCACACCGAATCGCGGCGCCTTAGACGACTGGGCCACCCGTGCCCCCGTATCTGATGTAGATTCGTGTATCAATGCGAGTACATCATGTATGCAAATTTGTTTTAATGACTAAATCTACCTAATAAAGTATGCATTCTTGATTAGTACGTTTGTAAACCAACTTTTCAATGAATGAGTGAGTGGATTAATCAAAACTATAACCAGAAAGGTCAAAGATCAAGTATCAGTCAAACATATTGCACGCAAGTGTCATGCTACACGGGTCTTCTAGTAGTTCGTTATGTTTTATGTTTGACGATGACGTCCTTTCACATGGAGGTTTGCACCAGTATTAAGAGTAAGCTGTTCCGACAATTAGCAACGGTGCAAATTACGCAATGAAAAGTACATATGCTCCAAAAATAAAGAAAATCTCGCAAAATGTCGTTGGAGTGAGAGAGACCTATACTCGTGACACAGCTGCTGCTGCAACTTCCTGGAATGACGCCCACAGTGACAGCCATACAACACTCGTACGATCCACAATTCAACAATTATATATTTTGTTACCCTTAAAATTAAAATGAGCCTCCCGGGCAATAGTTGAAACAATCTATTTGGTGTGAATGCTACGTTAACAATGTGACTTCTAGTAGACAGTCCGAGCCATGCAAGTGATGCGGTACGGCCTACGATGATGCAAATTAACCAGGCCACACATTGTGATCATAGACGGGTTGCTCACCGATTGACTCACTCTCACATTACTGTTTGACAATCTGAACGACAATGTCTTGCTCACCATTTCCTCTGTCCGTTTAATCACACGTGTTGTATATTGGGTGTGCGTATTATAGTCCTCCATTATTTAGTAACACGTGATGCACCTGACGTGCAGCGGAAAATGTGTGCAGACAATGCCACGTCGTCCCCTGCACGCTAACCTCCGTGGTTCTATACACGTACGATCTCTCTAGTGACGTCACATGCACGTTAGTCGGGTGTCTGGAGCTTGAGGAAGAAATTTGGAAGTTAGGGGCCATGAAAACAATTCTAATAAGAAGCTTATTTTCAAAATAACCAGTTCAAATGTACTGTTTTTCTAAGTAGGCAGAAAACGTATTCAAAAATCGCCTGCTGTCATGGCGGCATATTAACCTTTAGCCTGCTGAATTGTTTTCACACTTCTTAGCCCTGCCTGCTGGATTAATTTTAGCATATGGCACTGTTAAGAGGGTGGGTGATTTCAAACGATCAGTGCTTCATTAAACATGGGCCAACTAAAGAAATATTTCGCACATTTATTCCTGATAGAAAAATACACATTACTATATAAAAATATCCTGATGTTTTCGATCATACCAAGGTTAAGACCAAAGCGAACACAAAATTTGTAAATTTTCTTGAACTTATCTTAATTACGTGATTGAATGTTGAATGTGTTACATATTAGGAATGTATTTAAATCGTTGAATCTGTGCAAACTGATTCCAGTAATCATATCTCCTATATCTTAAATTTAACTGAGGTGAAATTAGATTTTTTTTTATCGCGAAACAACAGCACGGTGGTAAATTATAAACCATTTCAGTAAATATATTACGCAAAGGGTAGACAAAATAAAAACGTAATTTTCGAGGTCATCAAGTCAATTGCTAAAAAGTAAATATTAGGCTTTTTACAACGTGTCATGTTATAAAATCTGGAGGATACAATAACTGACTCATAAATATTCACCAACCCTAATTTCAAATGTTTGGGTTGATTATTTTCGATATTAAAACACAAATCCCCTGTCGTAATTGCAAGCAGACGAACGAAAATCAAACATGGCGCGATTCGTCCGACCTCATCATAAAATATTGCTATTTTTATAACAACAAAGTATACATTGCCTTCATATGTACACCTTAGGGAAAGTTGATGATCTTCTCAATCGACGAGTGTTTCATTTGTAATGTTTAGTTTAATTTGACGAGAGTGACACGAAAATAGAAATCACGAAATCTGACAGCAGAAGTGCAAAGGTTACCGGATGTGATGTCACAGACAGGGGTAGTCTGCTGATATCCTTTGTTGAGATAAAATAACATTAAATGTTTACACATTTCGTCTGTCACAGCCAGAATAAACACATACCACTACATAGGCTTAGTAATAGCCACTCATAAGAAATAACAAGTGACTTTGACCATATAATTCACATAATAGCAATACCCATTTGACCTTGTATGCTCCCGTGACCCGGAAACGGTAGTAGATGTCAACGTGAAGCAGGCAAGTTTCTCAGTATCTTTCATTTGAAGTTTTGGTGGTTTAATAATCAGCCTTTTATTTTAAGTTGAATATAGATATGATTCATGTAACTGTGAGGTATGCTGGTGATATTGTTACCATGATCATTGTGTCAAACGCAATAAGTTTACAGATTTCGTCGATCGGCAATGACCACCCTCCTCAGCAGGTGCGCGAAAATGGGCGTAACAAAAACAATATTTCAAAATAACATTCATGCTTTCCTGAATGTGATAAGATATTCGCATCTGCATGATCATATGTTAATAAAATACTCATTAAATATATTTCAGTTTCAGTTCCACATTATATAAGGGATATTTTAGTGTGTTTTATGAGTGTTGTTGCTCTTATAATACTATGACTGAATTAAGAACAATTTCAGACAACATTTATAAATAAAATTGCACCATAAATTGTAATACCTCCCTGGTTGCATATTCTGTTCTGTTGGAGGAAAGTACATGGGAAAACATCCTGCCTTCTGTGTTTTCCTGAGTTCTTAGCAATTAAAAATTATGTATTTTTTGTTTGGTGTTTAACAAAGCACTCATCAATATTTCAGCTATACGAAGGTGGTCTATAAATAATAATAATAATGATAATAATGTATTTAGTTGGGCTACTTTCATAGCATACGCAGGTGTCTTGACAGTGATGCTAGTTTTGGGAGCATTAGAACAAGTATGTACCATATTTTACATCATCAATTAATGTTTTCATGA